CACAAAATAATGATCTTTAAAAAAGCATCATATGACCCCTTTAATGACACCATGCAATCCTTATTAATAGTGAAATTAAAACTAATTTTAGGCATAGTATTAAGAAATGTGCATTGTGCAATAAAGAAATAGGCCTACTCCAAATAAAGTTTAATTATTATTTAATGAAGTGATATGTCAATAAATATGTCAATAGATTTGAAATATACTTAGTATGAAATAAATTTATTTTAAATAAATTGTGCCATTGTCTTTTTTTTATACTAGAGGAACACAATCTTAGTTCATACATAAATTAATTTAATTTCAGTTTCTAGGTTTTTTGTGAGAGCACATTAATAATTTTTTTTCAAATGTCACATTATTGCATACATATTTTTCTGTTGTTGACAATTTGAAGATAATAATAATAATTTAATTAATTTGGGTTGGACCATTATTTTAAAGCCATCTTCAATATCAAAACTAATGCCTTACCGTCTCTTAAGCATTTTTTTTTTTTAAATAAATTGGCTTTCAAAATTGATCTCCAAAAGTTTGATAGCCTGAGTGAAATTACTCCTATTCTGCATCAACAATACAGTTGAAAGATTAAGGCTGCATTTATTTGACTAAAAACAACAATATTGTGAAATATTATTAGAATTTAAAATAACTGTTTTATATTTGAATATATTTTAATATTTAAGTAATTTATTCCTGTGATTTCAAAGCTGAATTTTCATTGGTCAATTACTGAAGTATTCAGTGTCACGTGATCCTTCTGAAATCATTCTAATGCTGATCTGGTGGTGAAATATTTCATAGTATTATCAAAGTTAAAAACAATTTAACATGCTTAAAAATTGTTGGGAGGTGGGTTCTTCGGTCAGAATCAGGATTCTTTGGTGATCGAAAGTTAAAAAAGAAAGCATTTTTAAATATAAATCTTTAGTAATATTATAAATGTCTTTACTGTTGCTTTTGATCAATTTAATGTGTCCTTGCTAAATATAAGTATTAATGTCTTTCACCCTATATCAATATAAATTTCCCCCAAAAAAAAAAAAAAAAAAAAAAAAAATACACTTTTGGAAGGTAGTGTATCTAAATCTCTTCATTCTCTCATCTTGTTCATCGCTTACTTGGCTCATTTCATTTTTACATTTCATTAGTCTCCCCTCAATATACACAAACACAAGTACAACCCCTCCCCACACCCCACACACACTATGACTGTGGGTGTCTTCTTTCCTAGTTGCAACAGTCTCTTGAGCAACAGAAAGTGGGACAGTTATGAAGAACTAATAGCCTGACAGACTGCATGCACCCTCTTTCGCCTCAAGCCATTTCCTCTCAACATCTTTCTCTGATCTCTCTCATTCTATGATGCCACTGATTCTACTCTCTTACATATACAGTGCACTCCAATATGCCCATGCACACTCAATGATTGTTGGAACAGGGCAGAGAGAAACCATCTGTGCTGCTGCCACATCTGAATAAACTGTCTTTCCTATTGCTTCTCTCTCATGTTCTCACATCCTCAAAACACTTATAATGTGCCATATTCTGCAGTTCTGTGAGCTGTGCATATTTACATATAGACCAATGACTTCAGAATGTGATACTGTATACAGACAGATAGATGTGCATGCAGATGTTATTGATCCCTAAAGAAAAGTTCAGGAAAGAACAGCCTCCGTAGTCAGCAGGATTCTATCCTACACAGGGAGACCCCAGTGGATACACAATCTCAAAACCCGGAGTAATCAGATTAACAACCCTCATCATCAGGATCATATCGTCAACATCATATCAATCTCACTAAGTGCTTTCACAATACGTTTCATAATTTTAAGCAGTTAAATATGACAGCAACTTTGAACCTCCTTCTGTAAAGAACCTCAACAAAGATAGCAGTACATCTACATGTCATTACTCAACCAGACAGTGGATAAGTGCTACAGTACATGGTTGTTTTGAGAGATTAAATGCATAAAATTTGACATGATATCATATAGCTTTTATCCTACCCCAATCTGGGTTTTAAAATTAGATTTAAAATAGAGGGAAAAGCACAGCAGACAGCTTGAAATGTGATGGATTGAATAAATAATGATCTTTTTTTGGTTTGAGAAATCTGTGTATGCATTGTTAAACAAAAGAAACTCCTGTCATTTAGTCACACACGTTGTTCCATGCCTATGATTTTCTTTCTTCTGTCATCATTTACATACTTCATGTTGTTCCAAATCTGTATGTATTTCTTTCTTCTGAGGAACACAAATGAAGATATTCTGACTGATGAAGATCATTGGGGTCCAAACTACAGTGGTCCCCATTGACTCCCCATCAATCGTATGTAACCAAAAGCCTGGAGTACGACAGGCCGTGGTGTAGAGGAGGGGACCTTAGGGACATACCCCGCATGAGGGTACAAAAAAGCTTTGGCCAGACCGGGCGCAGTCGAGATAGGAAGGGGCCACAGAAAGGGCCTGCAGATCCCCAACTCTCTTTAGAGAAGATATAGCCAAGAGAAACACAGTCTTTCACGTAAGAAGATGATCTGATATCTCCTCGATAGGCTCAAAGGGAGGCCTACAGAGAGCTTCTAGCACCACAGAGAGGTCCCAAGGAGGGACACGAGATCGTACCTGAGGCCTCAGCCTCATCCACACCGCGGAGGAAACGTGTAACAAGGGGGTCCTTGCCCACTGAGTGACCATCAAGAGGGGTGTGGTTGGCCGCTATAGCCGCCACGTAGACCTTCAGGGTGGAGTTAGTTAACCCCGCGGAGAAACGGGCCTGCAAGAACTCCAGCACTGTACCAATCGGGCAGTTAACTGGGTCAAGCAGGCGGTCTCCGCACCATGAAGTGAAGAGTCTCCACTTCAGGGCGTACAGTTTCCTCGTTGAGGGAGCTCTAGATTGGAGGATGGTCTCAACAACCTCGGTTGAGAGACCAGAGGCTATGAGTTGTGCCCCCTCAGGGGCCACACCCACAGCTTCCACAACTCTGGGCGGGGGTGAAGGATCATACCCTCCACCTGTGAGAGGAGATCCCTCCTCCAGGAATGCGAACTGCTCTCAGCGAGAGAAGTTTGCCCTGGGACCACACAAGGATCTGGTACGCTAGTTTGTACAAACGGCGTGAACGCAGACCTCCCTGGTGGTTGATGTAAGAGACCACCGCTGTGTTGTCGGTACGCACCAACACATGGTGACCTCTCAGGTCTGGGAGGAAGTATCTCAGTGCATGCAGCACGGCCAGCATCTCCAGGCAGTTGATGTGCCATGTGAGATGGCGACCACTCCACACACCGCGGGCAGGGTGGCCACTCTTGACCGCTCCCCAACCGGTGAGGGACGCATCCGTCGCTAGCGGTACACGCCGACAAGGAGCTCCCAGCACCGGGCCCTGAGATGTTTCCACGCTGCTAAATAATCTACTAAGGGAACCAGTCTCTTGAGATCTCTGGTGTATTTGGAGCTGCTAGCTGGGTACCCTGAAGCGGAGGACCAGCAGGAGACAGCCGAGCTAGCTGCTCGAGAGACCCCCAAAGGTGTGGCGAGGCTCTCAGCTCCGCTACGTTCCCGGGCGGAAAATACTGAGAGAAACACTCGCTGGAGACCGCTGCGCCCTGGAACACTGGCAGGGTTGGCAGAACGATCTCCTGAGGGCGCTGAGGAGAGACGGACACTGTGTAATGCGGTGCACCCTGCTCTTCCCCAGTAGGGGCTGCCCTCAGCAGTCCTGTGCTTAAAAATGTCAGGCCCGCTTCGTCGAGGGCTTCCTAGACTGAAGCACGACCCTCAGATCGGGCCTCGCCTTAGAAGCCCCCGACTTAGAGCGCCGCCATCCTCGGTCCCGCTGCGGGGGAGCGCGAGAGGCAACGCTCTGCTTTTGGACCTCCCTATATGAGGAGCTGGTACCCGGCTGGGGCTGCTCCCGCCCAGCAGCCCCCAGAGCTATAGAACGGCGAGGGAGAAACCGCTGGAATGCCGCCGCCTGTTTACGAGCCGCCTGGTATCTGTCGACGACGGAATTGACGGCGTCGCCGAACAGAGCAGAAGGCGCAAGCGGGGCATCCATAAGGCAGACCCTGTCCTTCTCTTTCATATCGGAGAAGATAGGGACTCGCCCGTCTCCATTCCCTCCACCAGATCCAGATCCAGCTGCGAACCCCGCCTCGGTGGAAGCGGGGCCAGCACCGTGAGGAACGCTGGTGAAGGCTCCCTCCTCAAAGAGAGCCTTCCGGGAGCGAAGCAAACGCAGTGGCAACTGCTCACAATACGGACAGTCAGCCCCCTCGAGAGCCGACACCACGTGCTCCGCTCCCAAGCAGACCACGCACAAACTGTGTGTATCTTCACTCCTAGAAGCTAACGCCGGCTGCACCTCACGTGCTTTTAAAGCTTCCTGGTCATGACGTCACCCGCCTCTGATGTCTCACCCATCGATTGGACTGATTACACATATGATTCAGAGCTTGGTATCGCTGAAGGTCGTTCCCCTAGCGTTTCCGACGCAGCTCGAGTTCCCGAAGGGGAAACACTGATACATTTTTGAAAACATCTTTTGTGTTACACAGAAGAAAGAAAATCATACAATTCTTGAACTACATGAAGGTGAGTTTCATTTTGGGGTAAATCCCTAAAGTTTATGTTGGCAAGTGTTCATGAGTCAGTGGCTTATTTGTGCTAGTCCTAACCACCTTAAACAATTAATAGGACATGCCCACCTCAACATTTAGATTAGTTTCAATCAACATAGTTGACAATCCGACATCACATCTTATCTTTGTGGAGGCTGTTCTTCCCCATGTGTGTAAATCCATGTATTAAGACCTCTGAACCACATTGCTTTTCTCTCTTTTCCGCCTATTTCATTCACATTAAAAAAAAATAAAAGCCTTACTTTGGTGTGATACCACCAATACCAATAAATCACTCTTCAGAAGGTGCATATTACTACAAACTCACACAAGCAAATATGCATGTTTGGTAATGTGACTCACCGTCCAGCCACCTCCGTCCGTGCTCATATCACAGTAGACCTGAAAGCCGGCGGGATAATGAGTGGGAAAAACAGAGTAGATGCCATCTTCTCTCTGACCGCTAGCATATATATCACTACAGTCCCGTGGACGGGAGCCTTGAATGAGAGAGAGAGAAAGAGAGAGTCAATCACAAAAAAACACAAAGACTAGATGGTTACAAGAAAGCAAATAGCTAAACTAGGCCAAGGCTAATTTAATGACCAAAGGAATATTGCTATAGGTTAGCCAATATAATTTTGCACAGGTTTTTCCAAGGCAGCTGGTGCTTCTCAGTTTACTGGTCTCTGCTCCCAAAAGAGCGATCCTTTTCCCTGATTATAGAAAACACTCTCCCCTTCACTGGCACACACTTGCATACAAGTGTCTGCTCCATACTGAGGTTCATTACAAGCCACACCTGTGGCTCCAGCAGACACATCAAGGCCTTAAAAGTAAAGTGGTAAAATGCTTTCAGACACATTAGGCCTCCCGAGAGCACAATTTAAGTACAGACACTTTCCTTCGTCTTCCAGCGACTCGACTAATGAGAATTCAGATCAGCGGGGGCACAAAAAGAAGACAATAGTTACGTGCGCTTTTTAAACACAGTTTTCCGTGAAATTGTCTGATGTTCTTTGGATTGAGAATCAATGAGTCAACAGTGAGAGGAGGATCAGAGCGCCTCTGCTCAGGGGACCAAAGTGCTTGTGATTCTGAATTGATGTCAGAGTACATGAGCTGCATCTGAATCGTTGCTCACCGGACCATAGAGCTTTCAAAGCCAATCACCTGAGCAAAAAATGCCATGTGACTACTCAACATAGTAGAGAGTATGCTACTATGCTTTTCTGAATTTGACTCCTCACTGGCAATTATCATTAGCTGTGATGTCAAAAGCATGATAGGGAAAAAGTCCATTTCATGCTTTTAAACAAGAAAAAGTCTCCAAAAAAGAACTTGTCACTAGTTACTATAATGCAATGAAATAATAGCAATACAGATGTTGCATGCCAATTAAATTGAATGGTTCTCAGAAGAGAAAGATGTCAACAAAAATCTGGACTCCTTGGGAGGAAGAGAGGGATGGATGGATGCTTGGAAGGATGAGGGACATGTGAATTAACAATGAAACATACACAACCGTTAAAAAGTTTGGGGTCAGTAAGTTTTTTTTTTTTTAAAGAAATAAATACTTTTATTCTGCAAGGATGCCTTAAAGGGGTTATCGGATGCCCATTTTCCACAAGTTGATATGATTCTTTAGGGTCTTAATGAAAAGTCTATAACATGCTTTGGTTAAAATTTCTCTATGGTAGTGTAAAACATCACCCTTTTTACCCGTTTTGTTGCATGTTCCTTTAAATGCTAATGAGCTCTGCTCACTCCGCCACTCTCTTCCTTGGGGTGACGAGCCGTACTGTTTACTTTACCTGCATTTAGCCATGAAACTTGCTAACTAGCTGGTTCATTCATAAAAAAACCTTTATACTCACTTCTTCTGTAGGTGAAGCTGGATCACAAATGATTTGCGCGAACATAAACACATTTAGGTAGTGATGGGAAACCGAGGCTTTCTGAACCGTTTGAGGCTTTCATCAAATTGTGCTGTAGCTTTTTAACACAATGCGCATTAGCGACATCTGGTGGTCAGACTCGGTTTATCCAGCCTATCTAACGAAACATTGCAGAGCAGAGGATGGTTTGAAAAAGTTTTTAATCTGTGCCAACCGGTGCCAACTCATGTCATGCGTAGTCTGGTCAATGGATTCACCTATTGATCAATAGTATAAAATATACAAGTGTGTGATTATAATTAATAATTGATGTGAGTAGTAGCAAAAACATTTTGGTTGTTCGAGGTCTCTGAGACCCCAGCTAGAACATGATCAAATGCAATAGATGTGTGACGTGCACACACACACACACACACACACACACAACCAAGTCAATGTAAAGTAAAACACAAGAGTCATGCGAAGCACCGATTTTTTTCAAACCAGCTGTCCCGACCTTCCGATACTGCATGACATTCGAAGCTTCAAACGTCATCAATCACGTGGTATTGTCATTTCGATGCATGCATCGGCTCAGTGTGTGATACAATCGTGCTTTGAAAACTGCGTCGGAGCATCGGAGCCTCGGTATCAATTGTCCCATCACTACATTTAGGTAGATCGGGGGGCGCATTCCCTTCAAAAACAAAAGTAATCCACTGCGTCTTCAGCGGCTCAGATGTCGGGAGTAAATGACGACTGCTATGTTCATTATTACATCCAACAACAGAACACCTCAATCGCTTAGGAGCCATTCTTGTCTATCCTTGCTCCGCATCCAAACCATCGCGGACTGTTTATGTTCAAACAACAGGTAAATGTGAATTTTGCATCCGATGACCCCTTTAAAATTGACAGCAAATATGTTTACATTGTTCCAAACAATTATATTTCAAATAAATGCTGTTCTTATTATTTGATTAATATCATGGTTTTCACAAAAATATTAAGCAGTACAACTGTTTTCAAAATTGATAATATTAAGAGATGTTTCTTGAGCACCAAATCAGCACATTTGAATGATTTCTGAAGGATCATGTGACACTAAAGACTGGAGTAATGGCTGCTGAAAATTCAGCTTTGTCATCACAGGAATACATTGCATTTTAAAATTATAATTTATATTGTAATGATATTTTACAATATTACTATTTTACTGTAACAACCCCAAACTTTAAAATAGTGTATATTATATAGTGGTGCAAATGGACAACAGACAGAGAGGTAAAACCCCAAAAATGTTAAATAAAAGAGATGGTCAGGGAGGCTGGATCCCCTACCATTAGCACAGCCTTTAAGGCGAACTCCTCTGACTGGCGCCCTCTGCAGGTCAGCCTTCACTCTGGCCTTTAGACCTCCAGTTTCCTTCTGCATGGCGTTTAGAGCATTGCTCACAGAGTTGACCACCTTCACCATGTTAATCTGGCTCTCGGACAGCAGCTGCAACACATACACAAACAAGAACTATTACACTGACAGCATGAGCTAACAAGGAAACTAGCCAGAAAAAAGACTGCAGGCAACAGACGTGTATTAAATCAGATCAGTGCGGTGGATCTCAGCTTATGACATTTTTGAATTTTTAGAGGAAATAAAACTTCTGTCATCATTTACTCAATCCAGTATGATTTTTTCTTCTACAGACCACAAAAGAAGATAACATGAAGAATATAGAAAATGACTTGCATTAAATAATTTCAAAATAACTTATTTTGTGCTCTACAGAAGTCTGGTAAAGGTCTGGAATGACAGTGATCATGTTTTGGACCCCATCTATATTTAATGTTTACTATCTCAAGATAAATCTACAAGGTTCCATTACCCAAAAGCATATCAGCCATTGTCTATAATATGCAATCTCTTCTATACTGAGATTTAGTTTAGTGACTTGGACAGCAAAATGTTGAATTATAGCTCTGTAGCACAACAGAAAACAAATATTTTGCCAAGTGTAGATCTTTGTTTGATGGCTTTAACTTATGGGAAATCTATAGGTTCATTTCCTGGACATATATAATGCTTTGAACCATTGATGTGAGCTGCTTATTGTCCACTGAAAATAAAAATCCCTTGTAGCCCATGAGAAGGCAAAATCAGTCTGGGAGACAGGTTCCATAAGGCTAGCTGTCATTTCAGCTCAAATGCTTGACATGCAATAGAGCTGTAAAGGTCTTTGTGCCAGATTTATGGTGTGATTTTCTGCTTGAGGCAGTGAGCTGAATCTGCTATTGCTTGTCTACCTAGAAATAAGACTATTGAAAGAAACACATACACTGACATACGTATGTGTGCCTTTCCCCCATAAACTTAAGAAATCTGACCCATTTTAGATGGAAAACCCTCTGTGCTTCTGTGAGCATGAGTTTGTGCTTGTTTCATTGTTTGTGAGGCACATTCAACATAATAAATGAGTGTCCCGTCCTCGCCTGCAGCTCAACAATGTGTCCTTTACAGTGATCTTTAAAGGACAAGTACACATTTGAACAGGACACACTGTCTATGCATGCTGTAACTGATGAGCTATGAACATAAACTATACTATCACAAAGTTTTCCCTTCCTTGTCCATAGATTTTAGGCAGTTTTTTTGAAGAAATTAGGTAAAATTGACCTGATTAATTCAAATAATGCTGTTCTCCGAATTTTCTATTCCTGGGGGTTGGAGTTGTGGAAGTAATCCTGCAGAATTTTTTTCCAAAACAAAATATGAAGTTAGTATAATCACAAACTAAACACAATTTTGAGTAATTCATGGCATGTAAATAAATATTGTTACTGAGTTTGGGGTCGATAAAATGCTTTCAAATTTTGTTGAAAGTCTCTTATGCTTACCAAGGCTGTATTTATATGATAACAAATATTTTTTATTAAAATTTAAAATATATGTTTTTTATTCATATATATATATATATATATATATATACATATACATACACAGTGGTGTGAAAAAGTGTTGGCCCCCTTCCTGATTTCTTATTACTGAAATAAATGAACTTTTCCACGACATTCTAATTTATTGAGATGCACCTGTATATATATATATATATATTAGGGGCTGCACCGATTAATCGACTTCAATGCTCTGCCATGATGCTTTAAGCTTGAAGTCGACTAGTCGCTGGTCCTATAAAGGGCGCAACAGGATAAGAAATCTTTGAAGGACTTCCACATTTACTCTTTGTTTCCAAACAGCTAAAATGACAAATAAATGCATACTCTGAAAGCTCTCCACAAGACATGTGAGATTATATTACTGGATGCTCGAAATTGAACGGGAGAATGCACGTTTTAAACATCTTATTGTACAGGTAAGTTAATCGCCGTTCTAATCTACTGCGCTGCTGCACTGTAACACACACACATAGGCTACAGACAGTAGCTCGTACACAGGGGTGCCGCTAGCAATTTTGGGCCCTATGAAAGAATATGAGGTTGGGCCCCCTTCCACACCAAACATACATTATATTGCCCAAAGTATTGGGACCCCCCTCTAATTAACAGGTTTGACAGGTTTGACACATTGTTTAAGCACATAATGATATTCTAGGGAATTGTGTGCTTCTAATTTTATACCAATAGTTTGAACAGGCCCCTTTTCTATTCCAACACAACAATGCCTCTGTGTATAAGGCAAAGATAAACAAAATAAAAAGATTGATTCAGTCAGTGTGGAAGAACTTGACTGGTCTGCAGAAAGCAAAGTCCTAATCCCAGGTGAACACCTCTAGTGTGACTTTAAATGCAGACCTTGAGGATCATTTTAGACACTTCCAAAACTGAAAATAACATTTTTAAATACATGAATTATGTTTCCATCTTTGTTGCCACATTTTTGGAAGTGCCTTTTTCTGTTCTAAAGAAGGGGGTGTCCCAATACTTTTGTCGATATGTATGTACAAGTCATTGGTGTTTGGTGATGAGTTTTTGGCTCAAGGTCTGCATTTAAAGTCATACCAGAGGTGTTCAACTGGGATTAGGACTTTGGTTTCTGCAGACCAGTCAAGTTCTTCCAGACTGACTGAATCAATCTTTTTTTTTTTTTTTTTTTTAACTTTGCCTTATACACAGAGGAATTGTCGTGTTAGAATAGAAAAGGGTCCTGTCCAAACTACTGGTATAAAATTAGAAGCACACAATTCCCTAGAATATCATTATATCCTTAAACATTAAAGGGGTGGTTGACTGGTATTTTTATAGGCTTGATTGTGTTTATGGGGTGCAGTCCAACATGTGTTAATGCTTCGTTTGTTAAAAAACGCATTATTTTTCACATAATTTACCTTTATTCCACACCGCTCTGTCCCTTCTCCTCTGAACACACTGATCATTTCCTGCTTTTATGAAGCCCCGCCCTCAGAAATACACGATGGGCTCTGATTGATTAGCTGGCCCAGTGTGTTGTGATTGGCTAAACCGCCTCTAGCGCAA